AAACTGAAGTTGGTGAAACAATGCGGTTGTCAGGCAAGCAAAATAAAAGCATGAAGCTTTGAGACGTTCCTGAAGTGACGTCTTTCGTCACCAATCTTTCACTACGCGGTCAACTTCATTGGGCGTGGCCGAAGCGGGAAATTTAAAGCTCGATTTCATGGCAAATAAAAGCATCGGAATCCATTTTTTTGGTTTGAATACATTTTTAGATGTTATACAGATACCAAAACCACAAAAACCCTGTACCCGTCTGGACACTTTAACAGGAACTCGCTATGTCTGTTTTGTTGCTTACATGGTTTTATTGTTACTGTGAAACCCAGAAAACCGTGAACGCCATTGTCGCACGTCATTGTCTAGCAAGAAAAAAGCCAATTGGGCGCGAGAAAACTAAAACGCAAACAGCAACGTAAATTACTTTGTGGTTTTGAGGTTCGTTCGCATGTCCTGAACTTAATTTTGATTTACTCAGGACCAGCCTGAAAACCACCTGCATGAGGGTGAGATTGCCTTCTGGCTAAAGATATTTTTTTATCATCATCAAACTCTGTAGTTATTCCCCAGTGCCTCGTGGTGAAGTCTATTGTTTTTAGGCTTAAATTTAATATATCGAAATTGATCTATTTTCAAAACAATAGTCATTTTGAAGTTTTCTCAAATTTGAAAGTCATTTTGTGCGTCAGAAACATGCCTGTTCCCATAGCCTTCTCCTTGTTGGAAAGTTAATTACTTAAATGGGAGTGCCAGACATTATAATTACTAACAAATCACGACTAACTTGAAAAATGCTTTATTTGCACACTCGTTAATCACAGACTTCAACACTCAGTTTCATTTTCCTTCTTCTTCAAATTTATTGGCAAATGCACAAGTAATATCTACTTATACAAGATAAGGCGAAAAGCTATTGTAATCATCACTTACTACCTTAAATGTAACATTCGAGTTTCTTACATGATCGATATTTACAGAAAATGCAATACGTATACCGTTTCAAAAATTCTGTTAAAGATTACTATAGACTACTTATAAAAAGTTTAAATAGGACATTCTATGGCAAACGTCAGCCTCCCTTGACATTATCTACAATCCACAATCAATTAAACCAGTAGGAAAAGGTTCGTACGAGTGTAGGGAACCGGCAAAAGACTTCTCTCATTCGGCGTCGAAACTGGGATATTTGCCATCAGTAGTGAAATGAAGGCGCGGTGCTTAATTCTCTTGTTTTTCTGTCAGAAATTGCTGTGAGCTGAAAACATCGCAGTTAGCGCTTAGTATTCTTTTTAAGCGAAAATTTTCTTCCTGCGATGCATAAATATCCGCACGCAGACGTATGTTTTCATGCTCAAGATAAACCAATTTCCTTCCCATTTGCAATTCTCGAAACTTCCTGGCGTCGCGCGATTTCTTCGCCGACAGGTTGTTCCTTCTTCTTCGTTCCCGGTACTCTGGGCCTGTCTTGGCTGAGTTGTTGATAGCCATGTTGATGCTTTCCAGGGCTTCTCGTTGTCCTTGCGGAAACTGTTCAGTTTTAGGCTCTGGTAGGTTTGTTAACGGCTCGCTATCGCTGAGAAGCCTTCCAAATGTCGCATGACCGTTATCTGATAACCCAGTGGTAGTTCTGGTTCCTTCCCCAGATAAACCTTTTGGTTTCCCAAGAGATGTATCTGTCTGTTCTAGCCTGGTGGCCACAGGACTTGCCCTAGGAAAGGAACAGGTATTCAAATCCTGTGAGTATCTGCGAGAAATAAACGACATCGTAGGGCAGGGGTACCTCGCACCAAAATACGGAGTGGCTCCAAATTGCCACCCGCTCAGCTTTCCGTTTTCAGAGATGAGGGATTGACTGAGGAAAGTTGGCGATTTTTCCTGCAGTTCTCTCTTGATATTTCCGTTTGGAATTCTCGTCCTGACCGTCTCTAACTGGTGTTGAATATCATATCTTCCGAAGTTTGACTGCCAACGAGGTCGTGATTTGGTTCTCTGCAGGGAACCCTCTCCAACTCTAGATGGTGCCGCATAGAAACTATACATTTGGAAGCTTTTTCTAGAAGTACGATGTACAACGGTTGAGTAGGACTGCTGAACCATGAGCGCTCAGTAGGTTTCCATGCTGTAAGTGTTATGTTAAGCCGTCCTTGATTCCAATCTTGTAATTTTTCCTTTTTCTGTTTCTATTTCAAGAGTCTTTCCGTAACAGAATTTAACTCATGACAAACATAAACAGGTGGATTACGGCTGGATGTTTGCTCTTCGTTGTGAAACTTTTGAATTGCCCTTTCTTGTGTGCCTTGTTTTGACTAGGCGTTTTCATCTTTTCATGGTATTCCGGAAAGTTTCGGTAACCGCTGAGATTGTAGTTGACAAAAGTTTCCGATTATAAGATGGTGCATTAAATGCCTCAGGTATCGTGTGTTCATTGTGTTTTTAACATATTTTTCGCCAGAGCACGCCTTTAAATTCTAGAAAAATAGATTTTCTCTTTGTTTCTTTCCAGTTGTAGAAACACTCGTAAAACACTCGTGAAAGATGTGGAACACTAGCCTCCGGCTTGTTTTCTTACAATATATCTTATTCTCCCAAACATGCTTCTATTTTTTATTAGAACTGTTTTCTTTTTCTCCAGTACAAGCGTAAAGTCCTGGTGTCGCTTTCCTACCAGCCACACGTGTAGAAAATGTTCCCTCACGTGGCCAGTACACATGCAAATTTAGTGGCGCAAAAGAAAGTGTTAAAACAAGAAGAGAGTTCAGCTCCCACTGAATTGGTTAATAACGTTTGATACACCAAGAATTGTTTTCTTTTTCTCCAATACAAGCGTAAAGTCCTGTTGTCGCTTTCTTCCCAGCCACACGTGTAGAACGTTTTCACTCACGTGTACGTGGCCAGTGCACGTGCAAATTTAAGGGCGCAAAAGAAAGTGTTAACACAAGAAAGAGTTCAACCCCCACTGCATTGGTTAATAACGTTTGATACACCAAGAATTGTTTTCTTTTTCTCCAATGCAAGCGTAAAGTCCTGGTGCCGCTTTCTTACCAGCCACACGTGTAGAAAGTTTTCACTCACGTGGCCAGCACACATGCAAATTTAGTGGCGCAAAAGAAAGTGTTAACACAAGAAAAGAGTTCAACTTCCACTGGATTGGTTAATAACGTTTGATACATCAAGAACTATTTTCTTTTTCTCCAATGCAAGCGTAGAGTCTTGTTGTCGCTTTCTTACCAGCCACACGTGTAGAAAGTTTTCACTCGCGTGGCCAGTACACATGCAAATTTAAGGGCGCAAAAGATAGTGTTAGCACAAGAAAAGAGTTCAGCTCCCTCTGGATTGGTTAATAACGTTTGGTACACCGAGGATGTTTTTTTTCTTTCTTTAACCATGCATAAAATACCTGTTTTCTCTTTCTTACCAGCTGCACAAAGGAAGTGTTTATATAAGAAAAGAGTTCAACTCCGGTCCCACTGTATTGGATTGGTTAATAACGTTTATTAAACCAAGAATAATTTTCTTTTTCGCCAACGCATGCATGAAGTAACTATTTTCGCTTTCTCACCAGCCGCATGTATAGAGCGAACTCACTCACGTGGCCAGTACACATGCAAACTTTATGGAGCAAACGGAAGTGTTTACACAAGAAAAGAGTTCAGCTCCCACAGGATTGGTTATAATAACGTTTGGTGCACCAAGGACAGTTTTCTTTTTCTTCAATGCATGCATAAGGTACTTGTTTTCGCTTTCTTACCAGCCACATGTATGGAATGTTTTCACTCACGTGGTCAGCACACATGAAAAATTATTGGACAAAAAGAAATGTTTGCATGAGAAGATAGTTCGACTCCCACAGGATTGGTTTGATACATCAAGAATTGTTTTCTTTTTCTTCAATGCATGCATGAAGTACCTATTTTCGCTTTCTTAACAGCTGCATGTATAGAGCGTTTTTACTTTGGTGGCCAGCACACATACAAAATTATTGGAGCAAAAGGAAATTTTTTATATAAGAAAAGAGTTCAACTCCCACAGGAATGGTTTGGTACACCAACATGGCCGCCGTTTTATTGTTTTGGAACAACGATATGGCTAAGTGACGTGATGTGAAAACGCTTTATTGATTGTTTACATTTTATCATTAGTACACGATTTTATGTAGGGAAGGCATCACGCTCGGGCTGAACATAAACTGGCTCTTAACACTTAAAATAGCTTGTAAACTTTACCTAGTGAAATTGTCAAACTTGCCGTTTTTTGGGTGTCACTATGAACGTGATATTAATTTTCGAAAACAGTCAAATGCCTGGGGGGGCAATGTGCTGATTAGGCTAATTTACATTCCTTTTAAAATTACCACCTCAAGCCAAATGTGCCTTATACAACCGGCTCTAATTTCGTGCAAAATTACTCTTGCCATATCGTTTCATTATTCAAAATTTATCTTCAACTGGAGCGTTTATGCCACTGAAGCAAATTATGTGAATGTAACAAAGATTCCCCGAAATTTAAAATCGAATTTATTCTTCGGTTGTATGAAAGGGGTTATTATCTACTCGTATCCGAGTGGTACTGAAACGATGCAAACAAGATATTTATGTCACAAAAATTGATCAAAACGTTCGCTGGCTAGAGCGTTTTCATGACGTCACGGCAGCCATATTGGTGTTTTAAAATATTAAAACCGCGGCCATGTTGGTGTACTAAACCAATCCCGTGGGATTGGAACTGTTTTCTTATGTAAACACTTCATTTTGCTCCAATAAATGTGCACGTGTACTGGCCACTTGGGTGAAAAAGCTCTATATAAAGTTAAAACTTTCGAGCTTTCGGCTGTCAGACTACAGTCTTCGATGGATAAAAAATGGAAAAAAAACGGGCATCAATAAACGAGATGCCCGCCCCTGATGCTCTGTTTGTGTTTATTAAGATTAATTACAAAATATTTTATAATCGTGTTCAGGGTGATTAGAGTATAAAGCGTGTTTACTGATATTGGAACCTCTTGTAGGCAAGACTTCACATTCCTCACGTGTTCGTTTTTTGTTATTTCTAGTTTCAAAGCATCTGCCGGTCCCGCGTACATCACTCCATGGGCAGTCGGCACCTGATACCTTGTAAAACACATTTGAATGAAGTTCCATCGTAGGTCGGGATTTAAGAGAAAAAAAATTCTTTTGTAATTCCGGTGTTGACTGGCTTGCTGACTTCTCGGATGTTATGTTTATGAAGCAGCCGAAAAATGCCACTAATGTAAGGGAGGACTGCATAACTAGAGCAATCGGAGGGTGTGGCCCATTTGAAAGGTATACAAACGTTAGTTCCTCAGGTGCTGGGATGAAGTTTGTAGCTGAGTATATTTCTTTTTTTAGAATGTTAGAGATGATATTTGGGGGTAATTGTTAGATCGTAGCGTATCGGTGACAAATTAAGCACCTTTTCCTTGTTTCGTGCTCGGGAGTTTAGTTGCAAGATGTAACAATTGATCTAATAATAAAAATTCTATATTGAGAATTCTAATAATACTGTATTTTATAAATAACAATTATCATTCGTATATTAATGATAAATTGCCGTAAATAATTCTGATTATTTCCTAGTATTGTATAATTTTAACTATTTTAGTATTGTAAATATTCAAGTTGAAACAAAGAAAATCATAACCGTGAAGGAGGTTTGAATAGCCGGTCTTAACCAGCATAGATTTTGATGCATATGATTTTACTTCTCCGTTTATTCCTTAGTTTTTGTTTCGATGGAGAAGATATATCAAACATTCGAGACAGTGTTTCATCCGCTATTTCAACACCTCGAATTTTGTCAAAAATACTCCGCTGCGCGTCGTATTCTCAACTGTCTTCGTGGTGTATGGATATCCGGATGAAAAACTGTCTCTCGTGTTTGATATATTACATTTTTAGTGTTTTAGTACTGAAGTACGCTCATTCATGTATAGTCTCTAATTAGTCCGCAAGGGCTAAATACTTTGACACGTAAAGGAGTAGCGCATTTGAAAAGTTCAGCCTAAATTTTTCAAGTAAGTCGTTTGTAATCCGTGTTTTAAATCTTCTCCATCCTTAACCATCCTTAACCTGAAGTCTTACGTAAGAGGTTCTAACATCTCTCAACACGCTTGGTCTACAAATCACTTCATTTATTCAAAAATTCTCAAGTTATTGACAAGGGTTCTTTCCGAATTCGCAAGACGCTAGAATCATCGATAAATTATGCAGATAAACAATTCAAGGCCGCTCCCCAATTAGGACTCTATAGAGCGTATTCACTCACGTGTCCAGCAGCCATGTAAATTTATTTGAACAAAAGAAAGTGTTTACATAAGGAAAGGGTTGAACTCCCACAGGAGTGGTTTGGTACACCAACATGGCCGTCCTTGGAACACCAATATGGCTGCCATGACGTCATGTGCATACGCTTCATTCTTTTTTAATGAAGAACAATTAGTTTATTGACACTTTAGTTTATTTAGTTTATTTAACTTTATAAAGCTAGAGAACGTTTTTAGAAGTTTTTAATATGCTTTGTTCCGAAAACAGGTTCTTCTATTTTAAAGATATTTATGGGTTATTTTGCAAAAAGCGTGCGAGTTTTTATCGTATTCGAAAGGTTTATAAACTAAGGTGTCGAAATCACCTCGTCACAGATTGCACAAGCGCGTCAAACCATCAAAATAAGCCTTTGTGGAAAGAGTACAGAAGAATTTGTCACAATGTGGTCCATTCGACCAAAAAATGCAGATTTATTTCCGAACATTTCTTCTGGTGAATGGAATATCATTTTCTGGTTAAACTATATTTCCTCTAAGTAACTAAAATTAGCTAATATCTTCGAGAACACAAATACAACAAAATACAATACTTATACAATAAACATGCTAAAAATTATGAATGTGCTGAACTATGTGCATAATAAAACTGGAGACAAATTGCAATGCTACTGAAAAGCGTCATATTGTAATATCTTTCGCTTTAAGTCC